TATATATATATATATATTGTGTGTATACTGTATATATACATTATATATATAATATATACATTTTAATATTATAATAACAGAAACATCCTGTCCTCAAAACTTTCTCAACGTGAGAGAAAACATTACGAAGTAAAATAGGTGGTCATCAAACTGCATAACCAGTGAATGTGCAAAGTACAGTAATAACAATAAACTAACATTGTTTGCTGCAATGCTTATAACTATATAGGCCTATATATATATATACAACAATAAAACAACAATAAAATACAGCTTTGAGTTGTGGAAAAAAATATGAAGCAATATAATTTATTTAATCACAAGTATTTCAAACACGCCTGTGTTCTTCCTCAGTGCGAGGACAATACATCTTGATCATAATTATTAATGACATTGTTAAAATTGATGACTCACTAAAATTGCTAAAATTTAAAATATATTTTTTAACAAGTGGATATAAATAAATATAATCAATAATAGTAATCAAAACCGTGAATACAACAATTAGCATTTCTTTAATAATGCTATTGAATTAAAACATTATACATAGGCTGGTTGTGTCATTAAAGGCGTAGGACATTAGATGTTACAGAATGTAAACTAAACTAAATACATTTAGTAGTTTGTTGTAAGGCCATGAAGCATTTTTGGGAAAAATCGTAAAATGAGTAGGAATATAATTAATATTAGAATATTCTGTTTACAGCCATTTAAACATATTGTGCTTAATGTATTTAATTTATTTATTTCCCCATCTTTTGACTGAAACCATGGATATTCCATTAGATGAACATAGATTATTAATATTGATATTATTTTTTGTTAACTGTCCAAACATCCAATTAAATCACTATTATTAACACACAAACACCATGTTGATCATGTGATATCCTGCTACATGACCTACATGCCTGCCAGTCTAAAACAGTTAGTAAAAAAGTATATGATTGATTTTAAATAAAAGGCCAAATCAGGTATATACCTCTCTGATGAGGTAATGACGTGCGAAGTGGAACAGGGAGCCAGTGTTATAACCTTTTCAAAATTGGTGTGATATGTGCCTGCTTCTTTGTCTCAGGTAGTAAGTCGAGCTGCTGCATTCTGAACTCGTTTAAGACGTTTGAGTTGAGTGCTGTTCGTGCCGAAAGGAAAAGAGCAATTGTCGAGTCGAGGAGTTATGGAGGCATTGGCCAAAAGCTCCGTTACAAGTGTGACGTGTTGATGTTCTTACGGATTTGGCCTTACTTCCAAAGAGATGCAAAAGCTGCGTGTTGTGTTCGTTACTTGGTCAATGGTTTGTGACACATCAATGATGACTCTTAAATTCCTAACATGGGGCGATGTAAAGATGTTACAGCCACCAAGTGACACGATACATATGAAAAACGTTTGACAAAACTTATAAACCGTCCAACTATGGGCCTGTTTCTGTTCAATTTGAAAAAATAGCCTACCAGTTATTTTTTTTGGCCAAGCCAAAATTGTTTGTACACATATCAATGTCCGTGTTGTTGTTCAATTTTTTGGGGTTTTTCTGCCGTTTTAATCGTTTTCTTCCATTTTGACCGTTTATTTTAATCTGGTGCAGTTTCTGTTGACAAAATAAAAACTGTTAAATAACCGGTTTTTTTTTCATGCCAACAGAAACAGGCCCATGTCTTTCCCCCTCTCAACTACCTGGCGTCTGAAACTTTTTGAGGTTAATTGCTGTTTCTTGTACATTTGCCTCTTGTACATTTGTCACCCTCTGTTCGAAATCGTATCAATGATTAATTAGGGATTATGAATTAACAAATTTCAGTTAAATCTTCGCTCATTTACTTGCAAATTTTATAGTTATGAGTTTAGAAGAAGAATGGATAGGCTTATATACGACTGAGATGGGTAGTGTTTTTTTAATTTTTTTTTTTTACCGTCGTTCCTTTATAATTTTGCGCTTAAATAAGAAAAGATGGCTTTGCAAACCCTGATCTCATTCAAATCACTGATACCCCATTTGACAGTTTATCTTACGATAAAACATTATAAAAACTTTATGTAGAATACTGTATGGATAATATTCAAGTCCCGACTTGTTTCCAAAACTGTGCTATTTACTGCTCACAATCACGTACTTCTAAATCCACTAGTTTGTAACTTTGGTCTGAGCGAAACACCTCCTCTAGGGATAAATAAAGATGACATTAAATATGTAGCACAGTAAGCATTGAGCAAGTGTTTCTTCAGTAAGGCAATACAAACAACTCATATCTATACGAATTCCATTAAATAAACTTTAATGTACAATGTTTCAGTTGAAGTACGTGAACTTATTTCTCACTCTCACACAGTGAACTATCTAAATAATTCATTTTGGCTTTCACATACATATAAATTGATCAACTTAAATGAACTTGAACCTTTGTCAAGAGTTACCGTAAGCTTCAATTAAATACTCTGGGTTTCCAGTTATTAATTAATTACTTAGCAATACAACCAGGACTTAAGTCATTACTGTAGCGTTCCTAAATGAAAGATACTGTTCAGTCGACTGACTTCGTCCCAACGTGTAAATCGTCTCAAGATTCGTCCCATGGGAATGCCTACTTTGCCAGATGGAAAAATTTGACATTCGTACGAAATGAACTACTTCGCCCTTACTAATATTAGTTTCAAATATTAAGCTAAACCTGGAAATTCAAAAACAAAACAAAAAACAAACAAAAAAAAAAACAAAAAAACAAACAAACAAACAAAAAAACCCCTATTGTTCTGTTTGTCATCGTTTCTTTGCTAATAGGTCTATTCATCATAATAAATAACTCAAGCAGGGCAACGTTTAATATTAAAAAGCCAAAATCAATACCACAGAAACGTGTTTGAAAAAAATCAATTTGTTTCTCCATTTCATATCCATTATAATAATTTATGTGTCATTATACTTGGTATACTCTTACTATTCAAAAATCCAAAATATATAGGCATACAATCTTACTTGATTTGAGAAATAGTATAGCCTCAGTGTTATAAATAGAATCGCCCTTCAGTGTTGTTGTTATTTATTTCACTTTAACGACCACCACTAGCTCAAAGTACACTCGCGTATCGATTTTTTCTAGGAATATAATATTGCAACTTAGTCTACGGCTGATGAGGAAGTACGGGGAAGTACATTTCAAATGATTCTTAACACTTTTCATTAACAGTCGTCAACTACAAAATATCACCTACAGATTATTATCGGTAGATCACTCTTTTCTTATGTAATACTATTGTGTTTCAAAATAATTAATCCCAATAGAGACGGATTACAGACCACGGAGCCAGTATATAATTTGGATGTTAATATGATTGCAATACTAATGTATTACTAACAGATACAGAAACATCACTTTGAGAATATTATCCTCTACTGTAAGTTCAAAATCGAATTTTCACGAACTTGAAATTGTCCTTTGACGCTTTCTTCCGAAAAGTTAGATTATTATGTATCATTCCACTAAATTTTATGATGATCTATTACCTAGTTTCTGTGTAATCTTGCTAATAGACAGACAGACAGACAGGAGTCAAAACATACCCTATGTTTACCTCTGCTACATACATAGCAGAGGTAATACGAACTTCATTGTCAGAAAAGATGGATGGGATGATCAGATCTGTTAATACCATTCTTCTACGCCAGTATGGAAAGGATAGGTATCGTATTAGAAAAACAAATAACTATCGAATTAAAAAGTTATTGGGTGGTAAGAAAGTATAATACATACTCCAAGTATTGAAATACACGCCATCGTGTTTCAATACTTGGAGTATGTATTATACTTTCTTATTGGGTGGTAAATTATTTAATAGTAATATTTTGCTCGCGTAATTATTTTCACTAATATTCACAATCTTTCCAAGCGTCTATAGCTATTTAATTTGTTGCTTTGAAATATTATTGGAAGATTATGTTCATGTAAGCGAAAGCTAGATGCATTCACATCGAATCTGAATTTTTAAAAGCCTACCGAACCGATCAGAACAAAATCGGATCAGTGTGTAAGAATAGTGACGCTGGCTTTCAGCGCATCGGAAACGCGGTCCGATTTTTTTTTCGGGTCTAATGTGAGGGTCCAATGTAAATGCAGTTTAGGAATATTTGTTTGAAAATAAATCTAGGTCTATACAAATTAGGTTGACCGAGATTTGCTTTGTTTACGTGTTTGTTTAAAATATTACATTCACATAATTAGGCCTCCCATAAACTTGATTTGATGGGAAGTCTAATTAACGGTGAACAGAATCCGAATTTTCGGTTCAATACGATTTCTGATCTGTTCGGTAGGTCTAATTCCGATCCGAAAATTCGGATCCTACGTGAATGCAGATTTACAGTGCACAGAATCCGAAATACGCGCACTTCGAATCTAACTTGGTTACTGGTAAACAGGCGTTAATTCCCATTAACATGTAAATTACCACAATTCAACTGATCAGTGCGTATGCTTTCAACTCATCAGCCTTATAAGAACAATAGCGAGTGTTATGGTGATGACCTCCTGTTTTACAAATCCCCTAAAATAATGGCTATGCCCAATAATAGACCACGGTCTTATTCAGTAAAGTACATTTTATGATTTTATCCGTTTATTTTTTATTCTGTAAATTCTGGAATACCAGAGACAAAAGGCTCATCCTTATTTGTCAAACGTCGCTATTATCGTTAGTTACAGGTTTCAGTTTTCGATTGATATAAATTTGTTCACATATAACTGACTGGTTATTACTTGGCAGAATCTTCCAACTGCTTGGATCGATAGTTTATTTTAGTGAAGCATCGCCTCGATTCAGGAGTGCAGGGAGAATGTCTCCCAGTAGACGTATCCATACCTCTGAGATGTATTATGTTCAAAATAGTTTAAGGCGTTTAAAGGGTGCATTGTGATTTTTGACTGTTTACTTTTAGTTTTGTGCAATGTCTTAATGCGTCACTGATCTTTACAGTAGCATAACCACCAAAGTACCAAAAGACCTATCAGCGTTTGCATTGTTGAGTTTCATAATCAATATAATGGCTGCTATAGCGAACAAACAGTACAACTATGCACACAGGCCCTAGCGATGAGACGAGGCTTTAACGATAAAAAAAAAAAAAAACTACAGTAAAATGGGCACAAAGAATGAGAGTGGAAACTTGAAATTAAAACTTCTCACCGAAGATTACTTGCGGGATCAGATAGCGAGGAGAACTGCCAATAATGAGAGAAATATTGAACGGACTGTCAGTAAAAGGAGTATATTTTCAAAAGAAGAGGAAGAAGAAGAAGAAACAGAGATTAAGACATATGACGTGGATCTTTTGCCTTCCAAACCACTTCCAGAGAGATATGGAACAATACCTAAGCCCTTTTTAGGAAGACCAATAGAAGAATTAGATCCTGCAAGGGGAGACGACCAGGTATAT